TGCTGAAGAGCCTTCAGGGCCCACTAGAACACTAATAATTGTTCTACTGCAGTTAAATTTATTCAAACAAACAAACACTGCATCAGTTTGACCATTTGGAACTATGTTTATATTGCAGCCCTTCCTCCTGTTACCTTGCCTTTCTCCTACTCAGCTGTTATCCCTTCTTCCATCCTGGACTGCTTTCCAGGACCTGTTTTTATTTATAGGTACTTAGGCTGGAAGGTTCATCTCAATATATTTATTTTGCTGAACATCAGTCAGTCATTCATTTTTCTGCATCAGAGGAAGCTCAGGTATAATATTAATGATCTAGAATCTTAACATTTGTGTGTCAATACTTCGCCTAGCCAGGCCTTCTGACTTCAACCTGTCTGTGTTTAGTGGCACATGTTACACAAGTGTCTTGAGTTGTTTCTTCTTCAGAGACAAAAACTTAGTACATCCACCTATCCCCCAACTGGCCAACACCAGAATGGAGGTCTGTTTTCTTGCAACATAATCTACCTTACACATAAGATTTTTGATACAAGCATAGGAATTTCAGTCTGCTGGCAATATGAGTTTCTTTACTTATTCCTAGACATAAGCTGAAGGAGTGGATATTTGAAGTATCGTGTAACCGCAGTATCTGAAGTGAATTTGTTATACTTCTAAAATAGCAATTTTCAAGGGAGCAGGGGTAAAAAAATAAATAAATAAATTTGAACTACTGGTTTAAGGCCAACATGCCCTCCTGATTTCCTTCCTAAGGGAGGACATGGGAGGCCTAGCAGAAAACCATTTTAGTGCCTGTAATAGGTGACATATTGTTTTGTGATGTTTCAGTATTAGTCCATATGTTCCCCCTTCCGAGCCACCTGGTCCAGTTACTCTAAATCAGACACAGACCATCTGCAAACTAGACAAGATTATCTGTCTCCTTTAAATTGCTGTGTCCCATACTAATTATGCTTTTGAAAAATACCAAGAGTACCAGGTTTTCACTGAGAAAGAACTTACCAAATGCTTTCATGTACCTTCTCTTGTGTTAAGTTCCAGCATCATGAGCTTGGCACCTTTGTGTAAAGTCTTAGCTGTAACGACTCATGTGTTGGAGTAGGCAAAATCTGGGCAATATTTCAGTTTGTAGCAATTGTGCACGTTCAGTGTTTGGATAAGCACTGCTTGCTTGTGAGCCAGCTACATGTCTCCTCTTTGCTAAAGCTGTTATGCAAGGTGTAGGAGTTTCATGACTGATGTTAAACAGAAGTTTCCCAACCATTTGGCATATGACTAGTTGAAAACTACCCATAATACCAAGTTAGACTGCTAGACTGTTGAAATACGAGAACTAATTTTACTATATCCTACATAGTAGAAGAACACACAGCAGCAGGAAGATGATATGACATTTAAGTTCTGAGTCATTGTTCCTGATCATATCTGTATCTTAATGGCATAGTGATGGGACAAAAGACGACCAGGAGCGAGTGAAAGCATCTTCTACCCAGATATAATTTTTTTCCCAAGCTTCTCGGGAAATATTAGAAAAATGAGCAAAAGAGTTGCTTGAATTTTAATCCTATGTTTTAGCCAGCAGCTTTTAGAAAAGACAAGACATCAAAAGGAGTGGTTTCCTGAATATACACCTCTAAGTTTCCCTAAAGTTCTTTTATTTGCCTCCATAATCAACCAGACCAACTTCTCATTAAGTGTCTAGCAACAGATGGGCTCGCTAATTGCGGGATGCTGACCAAAGTTTGTCTTTGGCCACAACTTGTTGCACTTTCAGTTTGTAAATTTTACATCAAGCGGTAAAAGTTCATCAAGAACAGAGTTCCTCAGAAAGTTAGAAAGCTTAGATGGGACGAGATCTATGAGCTTAAGCGGAAGCTTCACCCAAGCTCCATCTGCCTGGATGCCAAAGGTATAACTGCAGCTTGAGTAGCTACAACCAAGCCAGCTTTAAAATATCTACTCTGGGTACCAACAGGCTCAGCTATAGCAACACAGACTTTAGAAAGGGCTCACCACCTCACTATTTACTCAGTTTCAGATTAGCATTTCAGCACCAGCTCCTCCAGCTATAAGGTTACCATTAAGCTGCCTTAGTCCTAGTTCTGGACTGGCACAGGTAATAACTAGCCCATGCACATAGCACCGAAGACACATCCCAAGTCAGTGTAAGTGAGGAAAAAATGGTTAGCCTTAGCTTTCCCTAATCTCTCTTTACAATCAGCTGGGTGAACCTTCCCATTAAGGGTCTAGCAGTAGGTGGAAATGTAAAAACTGTGCAGTCCCGCACAACAGTTTTATTTTGAATTGAGGCTCTAGTATCTATTTAGCTGCTGTTAGGAAAAGCTGGATCAGAGTAGGAAGAAAGTTGAGCAGGCCAGAAGCTGAACTCTATTAATAGGATGGCTTTTGCTCTCCAGTTTCCACTTTCACCAACGTGATACTCCTGTTCAGTTTCTTCTGCCTTCTTCCCCTGTGCCTACCATGCTAGGCCTCATCCCAGCCATTTTAGACAGGAGGTAGCAGGACCAGGATCAGTGAAAAAGCAATGTGTGTGAGCCGCTACCATTCCCTTTCCTCCCTCCATTCCCCTCACAACATGCACATATCCCCATGCTTTCTCCCAGGTGACAGGCCAGCAGGAAAAACAGAGGCACAGACACAGCACCATCCCTGGCTCTGCTCCTTCTCTCTCCAGTATGTGCAGTCCTGACCCAGTCTGACCACACTGGGTCTAAGGGGTGAAGTAGGCAGGGGAAAGGGATGTAGAACTGAGTAGAGGCCTCAGGGTTATTCTTGATCCCACAACAGGAGAAGGTATAGAAAAGAAGCGGCAGAAAAAAAAATGCTTCCTATCCTGCATGGAGCTCTTCTGATGTGCTGCCTTTTAAGTCGGTTAGTAGACCAGTGTAAAAGGGCCAGATTCGGTACAATAAACACACCTCGACCGTTGCTGAAAGGAGTGGGAATCTGCTGAAGGCAGTACATTCTTCCATTGCAGTAACTGGCTCCAGAAAAAAACATCTGTCTAGAGCTCATGGACTGTCTGTAGAAACTGCCTTACTGCTGAGCTGAGCTCTCAAGTTTTGAGTGCTCAAGCTTCAGGTTTGATTAGAAAGTACGTGTCATGATAAAGGGACTGCGCCCCATTGCAGAACGTAGCATTTGTGGGGATAGTGTCAAGACTTGCTCAGCATCTATTAGTCTAGGTCACATTAAAGGAAAAAGAGACCACAACACGCAAAATCCTTCCTGCACATCCTTTAGCTGTAGTATAATTAGATCAGAGGAAAAAATAAAAATAGTTATCTTACAGAATTTAAAAGAATCCCACTGCCCCCACACAAGAGGGAAGTCCCTAGCGTGATAGGGAAGTGCAGCCTCTTTGACTAAGCAGCCACAGCACCTCCACATGCTACTAAAGCCAAAGAATGACTTTGGCTGCTTTATGAGCAAACCACAGCCCCCAAACTCATGTAATTTGTAACCAGTTCTTCAGATTCCTCAGCCTACACTTTTTCTTACAGGAAGCAACTTGCTCACAAACGTTCCTGGGCAAGATCATCCATCTGACCTACTCTCAAGCACAGAAATTATGCAATCCAAGCAGGTCATGAGAATTTTTCACCTGTCTTTACCGAAAGGTGGTGCAACACTAGGTTAGGGACAGACCAGCAGACACTGTTAACAGTTCCCTTACAAGACTCTTTCCACCAAGGACAGAGGGAGACAGATCTACAAAGATAAAGAACGTGTTTTTCTACATTCTTCCATCTCTTCCCTACTAACAGCTGATTTAGGAGAGAAGAACCAACGAGCATATAAGGCACAAAACAAAAAGCCCAAAACCTCATGGGGCAGGATAGAACATGAGCTGATTCTGCTGCAAGTAATTCATTCTCACATAAGTTTGCATCCTAAAGCATCTGAATCTAAAAGAAATGTACTATTGAGAGTACCTTGCTTATACGACCCTCTCCCGGACACTCCCTCTCCAGGGTGTGGGAACATATCAGTACCAAAAAAAAGGGGAAAACAGGTTTCCACTGGTGCGCAGAAAGCACAAAGCAGAATTGGAGCTGTGCAGATTTCTGTGCCTATCTGCTTAGATGTATGCATGAGGTATTATGCAGGTATTACTATCTCAGCCAGAGAGGTATTTGTTTCCATGCTCATTTAAGAATTAACAACGTGGAAAAGGATGTGAATGGCAGACAGCGAATTTGCAGCAATAGTACTGATACAATCTGCAATTAGTCAAAGCTAAAAAGAATGAACTGTTTTAGGTCTCAGAGCATGGGATTCATCTACACACAGAAAAAATGAAGATCAGCACACGAGCACCTAACAAAACCCTCCCAACTTAGCAGTATGGGAATGTTTAAAAATCACTTCTGAGTCAGTAACTGATGGACTCTTGCACAATACCAAATAATTTAAGAATAGCGCTGCTCATTTCTTGACAAGACCTGTTAATTGAATATCAGGAAACGAAGTTGGAATTTTCTATAGATGATAAAAGAATCATATGAATATTGCTGTCTTTACTTACATAATCAAAGACACTGCTTTAATAATATAGCAGCAGTTAAGCTTCAGACAACAGGGATTCATTCTAGAGCTAATTTTTATTTGCTATTAAAACTCACAAATTATTAATTAGCTGCAAGATGGGATCAAAAACTAGAGAGAATACTTATGTAAGGTATCCACATGGCTGACGAGTCAGTGGTTCATGATGCAAGGAAAGACACTCCCTGGGAAGTTTCATTTAACTGAAGAGGCGAAATGAGATGATGAATCTTGGAAAGATTTTCTGAAGT